TGACTAACCACATCAACACAATAAGAACTCTATTTTCACAACTCACTATATGGGTCAGCAAATAGAGGAAAATAAACGTGCAGAGCTTCTACTTCAAAGTCTTTCCGATTCGTATGATCAGTTTTACCAATAATATCCTCTCAGACTATTTAGTCTTCGATGATGTTGCAACCGCTATCTTGAAAGAAGAAAATAAACGCAAAAACAAATAAGATAGAAATAGTTCGAACCAAGCAGAGACATTGTTGGTGTCAAGAGGAAGATCAACGGAGCGTGGCTCTAGTAGGAGTCAAAGGCAGGGGAGGTCCAAATCAAGAAGATTGTGAAATGGTACAACTGTGGCAAAAAGGGACACTTCAAAAAGGATACAGAGAATACTGCAGAGTTATCAAAATCTCAAGGATGTGTTGCGAGCTGCTCAGAAGATGGGGAGGTTTTATATAGTGAAGTAACGACAATCTCTATAGATACAAAAGAGCTCACTAAGGTCTGGCTAATGAATTCAGGAACAACATATATAACTCCAAATTAAAATTGGTTACATACATATAAACTTATCTCTAGAGACAAAGTGTTCATGGGTGATAATCATGCTTTAGAGATTATTGGCATTCACACCATCAAATTAAAGATATATGATGACTTAATTCGTACCATTTTAGGAGTGCGACATGTGAAAGACTTGAAGAAAAAAATTTTGTTCATAGGACCTCCCCTACCTCTGACTCTCACTAGAGCCACGCTCCGTTGATCTTCCTCTTGACACCAATAATGTCTCTGCTTGGTTCGAACTATTTCTATCTTATTTTTTTTTGCGTTTATTTTCTTCTTTCAAGATAGCGGTTGCAACATCATCGAAGACTAAATAGTCTGAGAGGATATTATTGGTAAAACTGATCATACGAATCGGAAAGACTTTGAAGTAGAAGCTCTGCACGTTTATTTTCCTCTATTTGCTGACCCATATAGTGAGTTGTGAAAATAGAGTTCTTATTGTGTTGATGTGGTTAGTCACCGACTTGGTTTCTATCGTTCGAATAGTATAAAGTCCCTACTTTAAGAAAATCTTATTGTGCAAAGACTTGAACTTGTATACTTTGATAGTCTTCCATATCTCCTTAGTTGTTTTCTTCTCCGCCACACTTGATAATACATCATCGACTAATGCTAAATGTATGTTAGCAATAGCATTGCCATCCATCTCATTCCATTTTGCATCATTAGTGATCTCCGCGGGTCGTTCCTCAATTGTGCTTTGATTCTCATTTTTTATAGTGAGAAATTGCTCTCATTAAACCTCTCAATCTCGTACTTTGTTGCTATTATATTCATTAGGATCTATTTAGCTATCACCGTTTCATCAAACGGTCCTACTTAAAACTCAATCTCCTTAGATAGAACTTCTTAATTGTATTTAATCACCACACTTCTTTTCTATATACGCCAACAGTAACAATGTAAATAATATCGTATAGATGAATAATGCTATATAGGTGAATAGTGTCATAGACGTGAATAGTAACTGTATACACGAATAACTTTTGTGTATTAACAACACCAACCAGAAGGCTCTGATACCACTTGTGAGGACTATTGACACCGCCTATCTTCACATTGATATGATATTGTCCACTTTGGGCCTAAGTCCTCATGGATTTGCTCTTAGGCGATACCCAAAAAGAACAACACCAACCAGAAGGCTCTGATACCACTTGTGAGGACTATTGACACCGCCTATCTTCACATTGATATGATATTGTCCACTTTGGGCCTAAGTCCTCATGGATTTGCTCTTGGGCGATACCCAAAAAGCCTCATACCAATGAATATATTTGTTCATCCTTATATACCCATGATCCTCTTCATTTTTAGCCAATGTAGGACTTTAGTCGTATATCCAACAATGCTGATACCAAATGTGAAGTCAACCACCTAAGTCAATCATAGTGGGAGAAGGTGAAGTCATCCTTTTACACCTTAGTCAAAAATTATAGGCACCAAATTGGTGTTACTTGCCCTACCGCTTGTCTTTTGCATGGATACTTACCTATAAATAGACAATGCATCCAAGCATTATAGACACACCACAAGAAAAAAACTTAAGAAAAGAGGGTGAGGAGAGTAATCTCACAAAATTATAAGGTTTTTGTAAGATAGTAAGTGAGGTGTTTTTTTCCTAGTAATAGGGAGATTTCGATTGTACTCCTATTATTAGAGAGAAGTTGTATTCTCACGTTACTTAGTGAAATCATTTTATACTTGTCTGTGAATGTAGCTCAATTGAATGAACCACATAAATTCTTATGTATCTCATTTTATCTTATCCTTTATTTGTTATATTGTCGGGTTTGTATGTTAAGATTGTGACAGCAAAAGAGGCCCTCAATTGAAGATGCAACCGGTAATGCCAGGAAGATATATGATAAATCCAAATGTTGTAATTTTAAGACCTTCAAAGGAATTGAAACCATCATCTATAGGTTTTATAAATGTTAAAAATAATTTTAAATTATTTTGATGGGATAATATTAAAAATAAAAAAAATATTATTTTAATATATTTATAAATAAAAACAATCTCCACCGCCTCACAATCTAACACCTTCCTAAGAAAGCATGTCATCTCATCTCGCCGATTAATGAGCACGTGGTGTCCAAGTGCGAGAGAAGCTAATTAATCGAAAAATGGCATGTGGGCAGCTGTGATGCTTGCTGTCCCCTTTTCCTTAGATTTTCTACGATCTATTCCGCTGAACGCCCAATACAGCAATAGAATTAGTTGTCGTTGCCACCTGCTTTGTTCTCTTGCATTTTTATAGAATTATTATTAAACTCAACTGCACTCCCTGCTTCATGTTCAATTGAATAAGAATTAAATTCAAAAGTATTTGAAAGTAAAATAATGGCTATTTTTCAGTTTTTTTATTTGAATATATACTAAAATAATAATTTTAAAAAATATATTTTTTATACCAACATATTAAAACAATCCAAAATCATAAAAAAAAAATTGAAGTAAAAAAAATTTTCAGAACCATTTTTAACACAAAAATAAATATAATCTAATTAATTTAATAGGTTAATTCATGATTTGATTAAATTATTTTTTAATTAAAATATTATTATTTGAACAATTATAAAAAAAATAATCTTAAAATAATGTTATTTTAAATTAATTATAATTAATCTGGGTTAATCTACCCCATCTATAATTTTAAATTTAAATGGCTCAAGTTTCATGCGAGTGAATACAAAAAATTAAAATTAATACAAGTTATAATTTTTGGCAAAAATTTAACGTTCTTCAAATTTTCAAAAAACAAAATTGAGAGCCATTAATATGTGCTATTGTGTTTTTATATTAAAAAAAAAAAAACATGTGATCCGATTTATTGATATAAAAATCAGAACATGACAGATTATGCAAGCATACATGCGAGAGATCACTCCGCGAAAACCCCACCAAGTCGAAAACACGAAAACTGTCAGCTTCAAGCACAGCTCATTCTTCAATTAATATATTATAAGATTGCTGGCCTCTAAATAAATAAAAAGAAAAGGTCTATCGGATCTTTAATATTATAAAATTGCATATTTTAAACAATTATTTTGCTCACTACATGGACTGCTAAGATACTTTTTTATTTATCAGTATATATCTTCTTTATCTTAATTATAAAAGTTGATATGATACTAAAAGAAATTATTAATACCATCATTCAATAAAATTTATTTTTTAAAATATATCAATTCATGATTAAATGTATTTTTAAAATTAAGTAAAAAAACCTAATTTTTATTTATAGAATAAAAAACTATAATTTTAAAACATCATCAGGGAATTAATCCGTGATTAGGGTTGTATCACAAATTAAAAAAATTAATCTAATTTTTATTAAGTTAACAGCTTTTTTTTATTTACTAGCCAATCCAGTTTTAAGAACAAAACCAAAAACTAATGTGTGAAGTTGACTGTAGGAGTAGATGCATCAACAAATAATAGCTCTCTCAATCAATTTCTAAACACAAACAAGAAAAGAAAAGAGAGGCAAAATGCTTCGATTGGGTTCTTCCATTGTCTCAGTGCTTGTAATTCTCCTTTCATTTCCTTTCTTTATAGTTTCCCTTCCAATTCAGGATAAATTTCTTAAATGTCTCTCACTATATTCTGAATCCTCCTTTCCTTTCTCCACTATCTTGTACACTCCAAACAACTCTTCATTCACTAATGTCTTGCTGTCCACTGCTCAAAATCTCAGGTTCGCATTGCCTTCAGTGCCGAAACCTGAGTTTATTTTCACACCGTTGCAAGAATCCCATGTCCAAACTGCTGTTGTTTGCTCAAAACAGCTTGGAGTTCAGATTAGAGTTCGCAGTGGAGGCCATGACTTTGAAGGACTCTCGTACACCTCCGTAATTGATACACCTTTCATTGTGGTAGACCTGGGCAAGCTTCGTTCCATTAGCGTTGACATCAAGCGTAAGAGTGCGTGGGCTCATGCAGGTGCTACAGTTGGTGAACTTCACTATAGGATCTCAGAGAAAAGTAAAAATGTTGGCTTCCCAGCTGGTGCTTGTCCCAGTGTGGGCCTTGGTGGGCACCTTTCGGGAGGTGGATATGGCCCTTTGCTTAGAAAATATGGCCTTTCCGCTGACAATGTCATTGATGCTCGTATAGTTGATGTTCAGGGAAGACTCCTTGACCGGATAGCCATGGGAGAAGATCTTTTTTGGGCAATCAGGGGAGGTGGAGGAGCCAGCTTTGGAATCATTACTGCCTGGAAAGTAAAACTGGTTCCTGTACCGTCAACTGTGACAGTTTTTAGGGTTTTCAGGTTCTTGGAACAAGGAGCTACTAAGCTCCTCTATAGATGGCAACAAGTTGCTAATAAATTTGATGTGGATCTTTACTTAGTCGTTGGCATACGACCGGCTATTGCTAGTGACACAGGTAAAAAAACTGTAAGAACTATCTATAGTGGCTTTTTTCTTGGTGATACCAGCAGACTCCTCGAAGTGATGCAAAAAAGTTTCCCTGAATTGGGTTTAGCAAGGAAGGATTGTATTGAAATGGACTGGATCGGTTCAGTAATTTATGAAGCTTTCTTCCCCACTAATTCAACTCCTGAAGTTTTACTTCAGAGGAAGAATTTATTCCCGGCTTACACCAAAAGCAAGTCAGACTTTGCCCAAAGTCCCATATCTGAAACCGCACTCAAAGGGTTATGGAAAATTTTCTTTCAAGAAGACAAGCTTGCTACCTTACTAATTCCTTATGGTGGAATGATGGATAAAATTTCAAAATCTGAGATTCCTTTCCCTCATAGA